TACTCTTTCTTAATTGTTTGACAGTACTGCTGATGTCCTGATTTCATTTCTGTTGAAGTAATCTTACCTTTTATTTTACAAAGAATGAACCACTAGTTCTTTGTAGCCCTTTAAGCAATAACCTCTCTGGTTGATATCACATTTTGGAGCTTTATGTGCAGTGTAAATCTCACTAGAGCACTGGTTAACCATTTCTGGTGAGATACTAGAGGGTTCTGACCCAATACTTATTTTTTAAGTCAGTTTTTTAAAGTTTTCTATTCCTTAAAGTTTCCTGATCTCATCACTTTCCCTCAGTGAAATCTCTTCCAAAATTTGATGCATCTATCAACATACATACAAGAATTTATGTATTTATTAACATTTCACCTCAGTCACACAACCTATGGAACTATTTCAGGTAATGCATATTATAATGCTAATCTTGGGTTTCATTTAATCTGATCTGGACTTCATTTCTACTTCTAACTACAACATATTCAAAGCCTTATTTCAACAGGAAAATATGCCTCGTTCCCGTTATTTTGTCAATCAAAAGTTATTCCTCTTTTACAGTAAGGTAATTGAGATTAGAGATGTGTGATTTTTTTTTTTCAGTTAACCGTCTTTACAGCAAGAATAACACTCAGAACAATTTTTGGTTCTCTTTGTCTCATTTTCATCCTAATTAAAGGTCACTTTAATTTAAATTTTAAAAAAATAATAAAAAAATAAATAGAGGTAATTTTACTAAAAGTGTATTTCTGGAAGAAATTAAGTTTATTCAAAGTATTTTTTTTCTTTTATGCCTTAAAAATACATATATTTTTAATCCATTAACTATCTTGGCTGAATCAAACTTACAGCTTTTGGCCAAAGCAAGTACTGATGCCTTTTTTTCCCTGTATAAATCTAACTGATAACAGAATCCAGGTTTTTCCTTAGTTAAAATTCACAATCTCTTCTTTCTCCCACTTCCTGGTAATATAACTTGTCAAAAGAAATTATAATGTCAAAAATGAGAAGAAAGAAGATAAAGCAGATTTACTGACAAAGTGCCAAAAAAAAAAAAAAAAAGAAAAAGAAAAAGAAGTGAAAAAGACAACAAAAACACAAATGAACAAGTACTTTCACACACAAACTGGAAGATTCAAACCAGAGTCCTTGGTTCCACAACAGAAGTCTTCATTTTTAAGGTTTACTGAAGACTGAGGTTTCAGTCAGGTCCATGTCTAGTCAAAAATCTTACTATGTTTGGATTGTACATTTCAATCATTGAGATGCCATAGAAACCAGAAAAAAATGGTCTAAGGTAGTTAAAAACATATAATTACTCTTGTTGGTGATATATTACATTTTCTACTACTTTTTTTTTAGATTGTAAATTATTGTTCAGGGGAATGTAAAAGGCTAATAAAATCTAGCAGTAACTGTTGAAATTAAACAATTACTGCAGGCTGGCCCTTAAAGGAAAACTGCAATGTAATATAAAATCATTTTCAGTCGTTACATTTAATTAAACTTGAAAAGAAAGGTAAACCACGCATTAAGTCCCAGGCAGTGAAGAAGAACTTCTGGATGCAAAAAAAAATTTGAGTGTGTTTAGCACACTCTAAGCTCACAGCTAAGCCAGTAAATAGTTCAAGACATTTAATATTTAAAAGTTCATAAACAAAACAGGAAGCTAAAATAAAAGTTACAGTCTAAATACAGATCCTGCAAAATGTAGCCTTGCACTTAACTTCAACTCCCAGCTTTATTGTATACAGTAGACAAAGTATGTACACGAGTCATTGCAAGATCTGGGTCTAATTAGACCGGTTACTTTAAGTGCTACTCAAAAGTAGAGTGGGCTAGCCATATTTAGGATCTATCTCAATACAATGAACATTCAAACACATTGAAATGGTGACAAAGATCTCCAAAATTCTTGGGAGCTCATTTTTCATATGGATGAATATATGTACTAAATATTTCATTAAGCCTCTATAGTAATATTACCAAAAAAAAAAATCACTTACAGCGTTCCTTTACATATTTGAACAAAAATAGCCTTCCAGCACAACAATGCTATGCTTGTAATGCTAATGCCCATACTTCCCTCCCCAAGCAGAAAAAAAGACTAATTCATTTCAAATCAGAGTTCCAACAGAATGCATGAATGTTTGGCCTTTGACCAATATTCAGTCTTTGCACGTACCTTTTCTGTATTATAACATAGCTGCACTCCAAATGTATTGTACTTGAGAAGGGTGGGGAGTGGAGGAGGGAACAAGAGTATCAGTTTATTGCAGACAAGGAAAGAAACCAAATAACTTTTTCTACGAACTCTTGATGTTCTTTACTTATCTAAGAAAATAGCAATAAAACCAGAAAGTCACAGAGGACTTGTTTGTGTCTGAGGCCTTATATTTTAAAATTGGTTGAATCCTGTTTTCAGTGCTATCAAGATCACCTTTGTTTCTGTCTTCAAGAGCATGGCATAGGCCCAACATAGTGGAAATCAATGCAAATGAAAACTAAAATAATATATTAGCAGTTCTCATGAGAAGAAGTCTTTTGGAACATGACATACCAACCAATGCACTTTGTGCCACAGAAATCTTGTTATTTTATGGAAGAGTGAAGGTCTCAGTGAATATAGAATGTTTGTTAGTGCTAGTGCAACAACTGATTGTGACAGGTTTTAAAGAAGCCACTGCTGAAGAACTGCACATATATATCCATAAAATTCCCTAGACTTAGTTCATTCTTAAAATTCATTTCCAAGATTCTGGAAGCATAGCATGTGTTAAATACCAAATTTACTGTTGCAGGAATAGTTGCATATTTAGTTTTCTCTCTGCCTGCTATCAGACAGCCCTCTTTGCATTCCTTTCTAAACTATGCTCACTATTCCTCAACAGTTTAAATTCAGAAGCTATGACTAAGTATAGAAGGTGGTAGAGCTTCTATTTAGTGGGTACATCTTTAAGAGAAAGAACAGCAGTTCTCTAATGGTTGATAAATAACAAAATAAAGTAGACAAATTGGCAAATGAACTTAGGTCACACTAACCCAATGTTTTAGTTTTGCAAAATCATCAAGAAATTCTCCCCCACCTCCAAAATCTTAGGTTTGAAGAAAGACTGAGTGCATTCCAAAGTGAAATACAGCAAACCAGCTTTGCCTCTAAAAGTTGTGGCCTTCTAATAAGATATTTACTATTACCACTTCTGTCTAAACTTCGTGTAAGCACCACAATGCAAGTGCTATTTGTAATACATTTTTTTGCCTTCTCCACAATATGTATTCCAATCTGCAAACTAAACAAACTATTTTTATCCATTTGTTCCTAGATACTTTCTCTTAGATCCTAAACCAATTCAAAATACATGATATTTACTTAATACTTTATTTTTCTAATCTCCTTCCAGAGGACAACCAGACATTTTGTCTTTGTTTGCAATTACTGCTGAGATCTGTCTCAAATTGAGCTATACAGATAGACAAACTGAGAGGGCAATTAGGACAGAACAATGTCATCAGAACCTGACACAGGCAAGAGGGCAAAGAGTCCTTTCTTCATAAAAGCCAGAAAGTATGTGAAGAGTTAGCTACTAAATCTGCAAGCAACCCCAGCAATTTTAATAATGTCTCTTTGATGCATACTCTATTCTTTCATCAATGAAACATAAGGAATGTATCTTCCAATACCATAATAATTTTCAAAAGGTGTATATACACTTACTTACCATTAAACCAACCTAGCTCCTAACAATGCTCTATAAACACTGTAAGGAAAAAAAAATGCACAAATGAATTGAGGAAAAAATATCTAAGGAAGTGCCCTTATTCAGAAACAGTATTTCAGAAATTATTCAAAAGAAGCCCTGGACAAACAAAATGTATTTCATCTAGAAGAAAAGGAAAGCTTTGTAAAAAATATTTTCATATTTTAAGAGTGTTTTCTGTCTTAGCATAAAATCTAGTGCAAACAACACTAGATCAGGTGACTGCTGTTTCTGTTTGTGCTCTAAACAGCAAAGAGAATATTTTCACAGATCTGCAATATTTCTGGGTAAAACTTTACACCTCATAAATAAATTGCTAGAACTACTTGCAAAACCAAGTACATGTTGCCTAGTAAGTTTGCATGTGTAAAATGTGATTTATTGTAGACACAGTTCAAACAGACTCGGTGAAAATTTTGTCTTATGAGCACTATTAATATCAAAATAATTTATAGGCATTTCATAGTAGAACAGTCTATAAATGCATTCACCCAGGTTGTTCTGTTTCCTTCCATTCTCTTCCCTTGGGATATTTGAGTGATGTAAAAGAAACAGAAAGCCAATAGAAGGCAATGGAAGGTTACAGAAAATATTCTTCTCTTCGTGTGAGCATAAAGCCATATCCATCATTGTAACCTTTTTAAGAAGTTGTGTAAGATTTTTTTTGTTATACAACAAAATTTTTGAATGGAAAAAATCAGTTTTCTGATGAGAAAGTTTACCCAAAAGCACCTCCCCCCACCCCATAATAGAGAAAGTGTTTGTCTAGGTCAGGATTTTTAAGATTAAACTGGTTACTTATGTATTTATGAAAGGTTTGCTTTTAGAGGTGCCAAATGCTTTTAACTTATCTCTGCAACAAATAAAGAAATAAAATGAAACTACAGATTTGGATAGCTTATAGTCTTCTTTTAAGAGTTCATTTTGCCCAGCCTGAGCTCCTGGGAAGGTTCTGCTTTTCAGAGCAGCACTTCCTAAGCACTCAGGATCTTCTAGGTATCTTATGCTGAGGACTCAAGAGTCACAAGTCACTGCAAAAATACAGGCCAGGATCTGATTATGAAAGAGTTTATCTCAAAAAACAAAAAAAAAGTAAACAGAGATTCAGAGATAATAATGTTCTACTTATGGCTGTAGTGATTTTAATGTGAGAAATATTAACATAAAAATGGTGTAGCAACAATCCTTTTTAGCATTCTGTTACGAACTCTGAATATTACTTATGTAGTTTCACATTTTTAATTTCAGATGACCCAAGAATCTGTATAACATGCATTCAGAACTATTATATGTAAGTATAGCCATATAGCTCTTCAAGCCTTTACATTTTTCTAAAGCAAAAATGTGTGCTTCACTATATAGATCTGTGCTGTGTATATTACCCCATTTCTTTTAAGTATTGCTTATCTGAGAACAACTTTTCCAAAAGGTTTGAGAAATGCTGAAAAAATAGCCAATGTCTCACTATCAAGGCCTTTTAAAACTTGTGGACTGATGTGAACTTTGCATATGTGAAGTGATGAATATCGAACAGAAGGGGTCTAAAAGTTACACAGTGCCTCTGGATTCAGAACTAGTATACTCTTACTGTATTGTGTCCAGTTCTGCTATTTGCAGTCCAGCAGGCACACATAAAAATGTAACGAGGTTAAACAAAGGAAAAAATATATAGATAATTGAAAGTTTAACTTAAATGGAGGGAAAATAAGAGCTCTACTGCTTTTCAAAGAGAGAATTAAGAGTTCTCAATAAAAATTACCATGACAAAAGAAAATGTTGATTAAAAGGCTATTCAACCTAACTATAAACAATGGCATTGGATTATATATTTTTACAAGTGATTAGCTCTTTACAACCACAACACAGTAATTTCTAATTAAGCATACATTTGGTTTTGTGCCTACATTTAAAACAAAAAAAAAAGAAAATCAAATTTGTTATACTTAAGAACCCTTAGAAACCCTTAGAAAACTGGACTTGTTAATATTTGCCATTTTAATAAGTAACATAACCACAAATACACTTTGAAACCTTCATTAAAGGAACAATTTCTGTTCATTAGGATGAGAACAGAGCTTTACCATTACGATACCTAGAAACATACAGAAAACAAACTCAATGACCTAAAAAGAAACTTACTAATGATGTTCTATTTTATCTTACAGGTACAAGCAGCACTGCTATAAATACTGCCCAGAAAATACCTACAGAGATGAAAGTTCTCTGCAGTGTAGAGAGTGTCCTAGCAACTGTGATAGCTGTGACGAGGACAAGTGTGACTCATGTAAGGAAGGTTTTTATCTCTCAGGTAAGCAAAGTACCAAGCATGGCATATATACAAAATGTATTACTTTTTATTCAGAGGAAGAATCTGGACCCAGCTTCTCAAATTCATAAATCTCTTCTATGGCAGACAGTGGAGGATGACTGAAGTTAGCACTTTGCAGAATCAGGTATTTGTATTAACGTAACCAATGGTGCCATTCAGTTCCAAGGCTCCATGTATTTGACTCCATATTCCCACTTTTTATTTTTCCTAGTTTTGTTTTTAATACATTTCCACTCTTTTGGGCAAATACAAAAAATACTGTATTTGATTCAGACTTTGTGAAAGGAGGGGGTTTTCACAGAATCACAGAATTGTAGGGGTTGGAAGGGACCTCTGGAGATCATCTGGTCCAGCTCCCCTGCTAAAGCAGGCTCACCTACAGCACATCGCACAGGGTTGCGTCCAGGTGAGTTTTGAATATCTCCAGAGAAGGAGACTCCCTGGGCAGCCTGTTCCAGTGCTTTGCCACCTTCAGAGTAAAGAAGTTCCTCCTCATGTTTAGATGGAACCTCCTATGTTCAAGTTCGTACCCATTACCTTTGTCATGTCACTGGACACCGCTGAAAAAAGACTGGCCTCATCCTTCTGACAGCCACTCTATAAATATTTATGTATATATATGACAAGATCCCTCCTTAGTCTTCTCTTCTCTAGGCTAAAAAGCCACAAGTCCCTCAGCCTTTCCTCGTAAGAGAGATGTTCTAGCCTCCTAATCATCTTTGTAGCCCTTTGCTGTACTTTTTACAGTAGCTCCCTGTCCTTCTTGAACTGGGGAGCCCAGAACTGGACACAGCACTCCAGATGAGGCCTCACCAGGGCAGAGTAGAGTGGGAGGATAACCTCCCTCAACCTGCTGGCCACAAGGATACCATTTGCCTTTTTGGCCACAAGGGCACATCGCTGTCTCATAGTTAACGTACTGTCCACCTCCCAGAAGAGCTCCCAAGTCTTTTTCCACAGGGACGCTTTCCAGCAGGTCAGCCCCTAACCTGTACTGGTGCATGGGGTTATTCCTCCCTAGGTGCAGGACCCTACACTTGCCCTTGTTGAACTTCGTAAGGTTACTCTCTGCCCAACTCTTCAGTCTGTCCAAGTCACATGGATGTGGACAGCAGAACAGCCTTCTGGTGTATCAGCCACTCCTCCTAGTTTTCATAGAATCATGGAATCATTCAGGTCGAAAAAGACCTTTGAGATCAAGTCCAACCATCAACCCTACTCAACCAAGTACACCCCTAAACCATATCTCCAAACACCACATCTAAACGACCTTTAAACACATTAAAGGATGGTGACTCAACCACCTCCCTGGGCAGCCTATTCCAATGTCTGACAACCCTTTCAGTGAAAAAATTTTTCCTAATGCCTAGCCTAAACCTACCCTGATGCAGTTTGAGTCAGTTCCCTCTTGTTCTATCATTAATTACCTGTGAGAAGAGACCAGCACCTACCTCTCTACAATGTCCTCTCAGCCTCCTTTTCTTAAGACTAAATAGCCCCAGTTCCCTCAGCCGCTCTTCATAAGACTTATTCTCTAGGCCTCTAACCAGCTTTGTTGCCCTTCTCTGCACTCTCTCTTGCACCTCAGTGTCTTTCTTGTATTGAGGTGCCTAAAACTGAACATAGTACTCGAGGTGTGGCCTCACCGATGCCGAGTAGAGGGTGGCAATCACCTCCCTACTCCTGCTGGCCAGACTATTCCTAATACAAGCCAGGATGCCATTGGCTTTTTTAGATGCCTGGGCACACTGCTGACTCATAGTCAGATGCTTGTCAACCAGTACCCCCAGGTCCTTTTCTGCCAGGCACGTTTCAAGCAGTTCTTCCCCAAGCCCTCTCTGTGCCCAGCTGTCCAGCCAGTGTTTTACCCAGCAGAGCGTGTGTTCATCCAAGCCATGAGCAGCCAGTTTCTTCACTAGAATTTCATGGGAAACAGTGTTAAAGGCTTTACGGAAGTTGAGGTGAACAACATCCACAGCCAATCAACTTTCGTCTTGTCATAGAAGGAGATTGGGTTCGTTAAGCAGGACCTGACTTTCATAAACCCACGCTGACTGGGCCTGATCACCTGTTGTTCTGTAAATGACTCGTGATTTCACACAAGATGATCTGCTCCATGACCTTCCCTGACACCAAGGTCAGACAGACAGGTTTGTAGTTTCCCGGATCCTCCTTTCGGCCTTTCTTGTTAGATGGGTGTCACATTTGCTGTTCTGATATTTTGTATCATCAGCAAACTGGCTGGGTGTGCACTCTGTCCCTTCATTCAGGTCATTGATGAATATATTGAACAGGACTGGACCTAGTACTGACCCCTGGGGAACACCATTTGTTACAGACCTCCAACTAGACTGTGCCACTGGCTACAACCCTCCGAGCTCTATCTTTCAGCCAATTTCCAATCCACCCCACTGTCCATTCATCTAACCCACACTTCCCAAGCTGGCCTATGAGGATGCCACGGGAGACGGTGTTGAAAGCCTTGCTAAAGTAACGATAGGCAATGTCCACTGCTCTCCCTTCATCTACCCATCCAGTCATGCCCTTGTAGAAGGGAGCTCACAGAAAGACATGGAAATGTTTCCTTACTATTTGCAAGTATAGTTTATTTTGACTTTCAGGTCCACATAAAGTAATGAGCCTTAACACTCCGAAATGAGCTCAGTTAAAACCACTAAATTCCACATCAGATTCACACAAGACTTGAAATCTCTCAGCCTTATTACAAAGTATAAATCAGGCAGATCTGGTTCAGACATGGTGCCAAATATGAATCACAGGAAATCCTGACATTATGGTATTCTTGTGCATTACTTGTTGCGGGTGCCCGGTAGTGGAGTACAAAAGCATCACACTCATGGAAAACTGAGGTGATAACCTGAGGTGATCTGGTAGTCTGCCTTTTTTTAAACGGAAATTAGAGGAAGTTCAAAAAGCTTGTCTAACAAATTCTAGAGATTTTGCTACAGTATGCCAGCTCTTACACTGTATTTAGCTTTATGTTCACCAGAAACTAGAGATCCATCCAATCCTCAAAATTTGCATCTATCTAACAATCTTAGGGAATTCTGGACTTAGATGTTACATTGGGCCAGTACAATAACTGGGACTCAATCATAAAATTTTTGTCTAGATTTGGACTTTTGTAAGATTTGTGTGCCAGGATTTAGGATATGGATGAAAACCCATCTAGATATAAATTTAAGTGGTTTGAAGTTTGTGAAGTTTGCATAAGCAAATGGTCTGAATTTAAGTTTCACATTAAAGATTTAGAGTTTATATAGCTAAAAAAAGTTTCACAGGTTCTTACACACCATTTTTTTCTTAAACTGTTTCTTTCTGGAGACAGAGAGATGCTACAGGTGAGGTACCTCCTTGTCAGGATTGACAACGGTCAGTAGACACCATGATGCCAGGCTCTTTTTCTGTTGCAGGTGGCACGTGTGTGAGTGAGTGTGGAGACGGCTTCTTCACTGATGACATCTCTAGAGAATGTGAACCTTGCCACAGGAGCTGTGCAACATGTGTTGGGTACAGCTATGAAGACTGTACTGAGTGCAAAAACAGTTTCCAGTTATCTCGTGGGCAGTGTCTGAATCCAAGAAATTCTCCACCCAATGGGAAATACTGGAGTCGTAAGTTGCAACAGATCCCTTAATCTTTTCTATTTCTCTGAAGCTTTAGGAAGTGGATATCATGGCCTTGCAGCTTGAGTGAAATGGCACTTTTGTCAAACACATTGTCATTTTAAAAATACAGTGACTAAAACCATTGGTTTCACAGACTGAAATTCATATTCCTGCAAATAGCATAATATTTTAATACAACTTAGTTTTTCCTTATCTGGGAGTTATCTTATCTGGATAGATAAAAGATTGAAAAATAAAAGATAAAAAGATAAAAGATAGATAATAGATTAAGGTACTGGGAGCTCCTTATTGAAAGGAGCCTTATAGGCTATGTTTTAGACCAGCTTTGTGGCTGTTGATTAGCTACACAAGTAAATGTAAGTTTGAGAAACTGGAAAATAATCAAATATGTGTCTCTGTGTGTGTGTATAAAAGCATTCCTCTCTTCTTTTCTCTTCTTCCCCCAATGCTCCGCTGTCTATGGGACAAAATACAGGATGTAGAACTACATTCTGCATTTCTTGTCCTGCCTTGGCCGTTTCCACAAACCTCACAATATCAGTTCTTTCTTGGTGCCCTCATCTATAGCATGGGAATAACAATTCTCTGTTAAAAAAAAAAAAAAATTTGGAAGGAAAATGTTTTTAAATTTTAAAGCTATCAAAGGGAAAGGTTTGCATTAAATTTTTGATTTTCCTTCATAAGTATCTTCAAATGCATACCAGTACTGTCACAAATTTCTTGTTAAGAAAGTGTTAAATGAAAATTGCGTAGTAGAATATTTGTCATTCCCATTATGTCAGTTACATAAAGTACAATCGAATAGGTTATGTTACCAAATGAGGCAGTGCTAATGCTGAATATATCGCCCAGCACACAATTTAAAACTCATTTGCTATGAATATTCATTTTTTAAAAATGAAACCTGTGCAGCACATGGAACCTCAATAGTTAAGATTGCAAGTGGCACTTTTGAATTACATGTACACCATACCCTCCAACAAAGGGTAAAATTTCCTCTAGAGTTTCAATAGCTGCTTTGCTGATCACTGTAAACAAAGAGAAAAGTGTCATATAATCCTTTCACTCTCTTTATAGTTGTAAAGCATCACCTGGAATAACACATTCAGTTTTAGGCACAGTGTTTAAAGAAAGAAGTGGGACAATTGAAAAGGAAACAGTAAGGACTATCAGAATCTAGGGGGAAAATTGTTTACAATGAAAGGTTGAGATAAATGATGGCCTTTGGACTAGATGGGGAAGCTAAGAGGAATACAATCACAAAGAAGAATGGAATAGATCAGGTCTCTGTAAGTGCAGTAAACAGGACTTAAAATGCAGAAAAGGAGTTTTAGATTTGGCATTGGAAAAAAGGGGACGTTCAAATGGACTAATGGAATAAAGTAGAATTTTTGAGGATGTTTGGTGGTTTCCTTCACTAGGGGTCTTTAAGAACAGGTGAAAAGCATCTGATAGGGATGTTTACTGAGTGGAGCAAGTGACTAGACTACTTGAGGTCCCTTCCAACTTTATTCTTTTATCTAATACAAATTTTCTTCTGATTCCTTTGTCTTTATTTGACTCAAACACACCAAAGAATGACTACCCTTAGATCTACATGACCTTGCACTAAAAATTAAAATATACTAACAAATCAAGATATTGACCATTTCTATTCATTGCCTACCTACGGTGAAGTGTTATACCAAAAGGAATAACATTTCTTCACTTCAGAAAAAGATCAGAGAGACCTAGAAAGGAGAAATATTAATAGAAAGTTGGTCTCCTCCATGCATTTCCTTGTGTTTCATCCATATGAGTAAGTATTCTTTCAATTTGAGACTATGCCCATCAGTGCCATGTAAAAAGCATATCTGTAGTTTGATCTACCTATTGGTTATCTATTTCTCACACCATCAGACAAGATGACTCATTGTCAGCTTATTTTGTCTGAGCAGGCAGGTGATGCAGTCCTGTATGTATCAGCATTGCTGTGCTGAGAAACCTCTTTCTCTCTATCTTGCATACCATTTCTCTTTCCTTCCAGTAGTCAAAATATATCTTACTTAGGGGCATTTCAAAATGTAGGACACATCTCTCTCAGAGCTGCACTGGCTTGAACATTAATGACTGTTCCAAAGTCACAGGATTCCTG